ACGACGCAGCTTCTTCTCCCTCTACTCAGCATCCACCGCTGCTCGCACCCGCTACCGGGGCGCTCTTGGAGAGTGCGGCTCCCGCTGATGCGCTGATGCGCTGATGCGCCGATGCGCGGGCGCCGGAAGTCGCCGAGCCGCGCGCGGTACACGTCCCCGGACACGTCGGCAGCGGCGCCAACGACTCTCGACAGCCCGCTGGAGAACGCGATGAGGACGCGCGTTCTCGTGTAAACGACAGTTCCGAACACGTAAATCACGTCCGATCCGTCTTCGGCAACGAATCCACCGCCCCTGCAGAAAGAGAGAGAGTATTCTCGTGGAGATTTCCATCATTTCTGTGCGATCATCAAGTGCGAGATTGTAAACGTTTCACGATGGCGCGTCATCTGGAAGTGGTGACAAAGTCCTCGAGGGATTCTCCGCATTGACACGGGCTGGAAGTGCAGCTATCAGCTCGGGATTTCCGGTTGAACTCGACAGGGAGAATAATACCAGAGAAGTTCTTCGGAAGTCTTTCGAAGAATTGAAACCAATTCCCAAAAATTGCGAAAGAAGGATTCTCGCAGGACGTCATTGGGCTTTGACGACGAATCTTCGCATTATGATGCGAACCGGAAATTAAGTCGCGCTGCTGATCGCTCCTTCAGGAACTCGCGCGTACCGAATTTGCGGTCGCACGTGCGAGGTCGACGAGAAGCGGTCGCTACGTGCCGGCGTGTCTCGACGATGGCAACATCGTCACTGGGTACCTGGAGCCTCTTCTCCCCTCGCGTCAACGATCAGGCTGATTTCCGCCGTGGAATAACTTCCGGAGAATCAAATATAGGTCGATCGGCGAACGACTGACTTCAGCTTACCGATATAAAAGCTACGCGAGGGGAGAGATTTTATTAGATAGATTGCGTGAAAGAAAATATATTCAAAAAGGGGGCAGAGATCAGATAAGGTGTCAGAGTTTATTCGAGAGTATATCTGAGAAGTGGTTAGTTAAAGATTGAAATAATATATTTAAGATGAAGTTGAAGGTTAGATAAAGAGGCTGAGGGAGTGTACGATGGTTTACAGCGCATTTTTCTGCGAGAGAGGAGAAAATCGATGCTTTGAGAGGATACCTATAGCAATGTGTGGAAAAGGAGGGAAATCAGCTGGAGAGGAGCGAGGATCAACATTCAAAGAGAATATCTATATGTATACCTAAGTACAGAACGAGAGAGTATTTTTCTATGGATAGTTCGTTTCTATTATATAAAGAAGAAAGAAAGAGAGAGAGATAGAAAATATTCTATATATATTATCAATCATCCCCTGTCGTGAAGACGAGAGTTGGAGTGGCGTCGTCCACGATCGTCCGGCCGTCGAGGACGACGATATCTCCCGCTGCGCCCTTCTTATTTAAGGGAGGACTCTCGAGGAATTCATATGGATTCTAGTGCAGGAATTCCTCTGCGTATAAGTACCTGCGAACACCCGCGGCGGATCTTTTGCCGCGTTCTTCGTGCGTCATAGCCCACCCTTTGAATTTTCGAGATAGTTAGATTAGACCGCACGTAGTCACAAAGTTAACGTTAGGGAGTCTCTCTCTAAGTCGTGATTGATTTTAACAGTGCAAAAGACGTTTGCCTTAAAACAGAGGACTTTATTGAAAAATTCGAGGAAATTTCGAATTCTTTGAATATATAAATTCATCGTAAACTCGACGAATTCGAGTAGACCTGATGAACTCAATCAACGGCAGCTGTTTCGCTATCGTTCCAACGTAAACTTCCAGAATGTATACCGGTTGTTTACATTTTATCCGTCGTGCACATTTGTTTGGCGCCGATTGAGTATTGGATTCTGCGAGCTATAATTCCGGTGAGCAGCTGGCGAGTATATTATAATATTTAATTGCAAGAGAGAACTTTAACGAGGACATCGACTTGAACTTCAAGGTTCATTAAGATCGTGGAAATAAAAAAAAGCGATTCTCGAGACGACACCACCGAGCTTACGCATCGCGACAATCGATCGTACGAGAATATCTCATCGAGCTCCCCACGTGAATGTTTTCTTCTGCCGTCCGCGAGACAATAATGACACCGCCAGAGGAGGAACGAGACGCCGTGACCGGCGACGATCGGAAACCTGAGGATTCCATCCGACGGTCATCCCTCTTCTAGATACCACCGCGGGTTCCGCGTCTCTTCCTCGTTCATTCACCGCCGACTGCGAACGACGAATGATGGTAGAGCCGAGATGGTCGATCAAGTGTACGAATAGCACCCTGGACTTGCTGGACCCGAGCGACGATTACACAGATCTGAAGACGCAGCATCGACGACGTTGTTGGAAATACTTTTGCTGGTGCCGCAGGCATACGATCAGCGTGATATGCATTAACGAGTCGCGCAAGCTGTACTGGTTCAATTGCCGTAACGTGCAGGAGAAGGTGACTTACGGCTCGGGCGAGGGGTATTATCACAAATTACTCCGGCTGGTGAACGGCGCGCTCAACGCCTGGGCGCAACGCTACATCGACGGCCTGAGCGTGGCACGTCGCGAGATTATGTTGAGGATCAACGGCAGTGCGGAGAACAACATGAAGCTGTTAAAGGAGGGCTGTTACTGCCACTACCATCCGCATATGACGGCGGACGCGTGCAACGCCGACTTTCTCAGAAGAGTCGTAAGTTTCTGGGCCGACGAGAGCCTCAGGGGGATACGCGAGAGGCTCCGCGGCATGATGAATATTACGAAAAAGGTAGAGGACACGAATCGCGAATCTCTTTATATCTCTTCTGGAAGGAATGTTTCTCGATATTGTATATGTCCCCAGATATATATATTAATATATATATAGATATTTTCCCCGGTATTGCGACGATCGCACCAGGATATCGCTCGTATTATTGGCATGTGCTTCGGCCAGAGAAGCGAGAGTAGAAAGGACACCAGTCGAGTCCACACCTCCGACTACGCCGTTTCCGTTGGACTTTCGTTCGTCGACCCCCTGACTACTCGCACTCATTCTCGCACTCGATATTGCATCTCATTTTCATCTCGCCATCACAATAATTATATATGTACAAACTAGAAAAGAATTATACGTTACTCCAAAAGCGTTACATTCGTGGTAGGAATTAATAAAGAATCTTGAACGCGATAAATGAGCGAAAATAACGAGGGGATGGACAGCGAAAGCAGTGAAATTATTATTAGCACTTTGCATTTGCGACGCGGCTGTCTTTTTGTTGTAACGCGAGTAAAGTAGAGTATTTGGCATGTAACGCCTACGATAGTTCATGAAAATGATATTCTTGTGCAATTAAAAGGGCTTGTAAGCGAATCTCGCTAAAGTTGCATCGATACTAGTTGCCACCTTCGAGTAGCATGCGCTGAATAAAGCTATAAGAACTCTTTGCATCTCCACTGCAAATTGTTGGTAATGCGAATGTCATTCTTCTTAATTTGATATCCTTTTATTTATAATAATAGCCTGACATAATTATAATAATGTTGATTAATAATTGGTTACTTATTTATTTATCTGTATTTCATTTAAAAAGATTTAACACGGTTATATATAGGCTGTCTGATAATTGTTCTGACGGAGTTTATGGACATGTAGAGCGGACTAAACTGAGACGGAAAGTCTTTTACCATTTTCGCAATAGTTAGCAAAATATTAATTGCTATAAATTGCCGAAAATTGGTCTTTAATAATTTTTTACTCAAATATTATTATTGTAACTTTATAGAAAAACTGCAAGAGACAAAAATTGTTTATTTTCTTCTCATAGAGTTCTAAGAATGTTTTTAGAATTTTTTCAGAATTTTTTAATATCGTATTTTCTTATGTTGATAAAAATGAGAAAATGCAGTACTAAAAAGTTGATAAAAAATTCTGAAAAAAATTCGTAGAGTTCTATGAGAAGGAAATAAACAATTTTTATCTTTTGCAGTTTTTCTGTAAAGTTGATAGTATTTGAGTAAAAAATTATTAAAGACCAATTTTCGGCAATTTTTAACAATTAATATTTTGTTAACTATTGCAAAAATTGCAAAATAGTAAAGGATTTTTCGTCTCAGTTTAGTCCGCTCTACATGTCCACGAACTTCGTCAGAATAATTATCGGACACCCTGTATAATAAAAATCAAATAACCGAAATGAAATAACAATTGGACTACAAATTAAATTATTTATAACAATTACGAACAACAACAATGAACAGATGTTTTCGACTATGTTTGATGATAAACAAATAACTTTAATAAAAAAATTTTAATTATATAATTTCAGTAAATTGCATTGTGCGATAATAATATTTGAGAAAGTACATTTTTTAATGAATCAGTAAATTAAATTAAATTAAATTAAAATAAATATAATGTAAATATAGTATTATATATACATATATAAAACACAGTCCCTATATTTGGAATTCCTAATTGCACTTTTAGATAGAAGAAGAATTCTCGATGAATTATGTATATATAAAGCATCCTGTCATTGTCAGTAATCTCTAGATCTTATCTCTCTGCATATACCTAATCATAATCCTTTATCACCTTATTTCACGATCGCACAATACATTTTTTTCTACGCACATTTTCTGTCTTTTATACATGACATATATTTCTTTTTCATACATATATACGGACGATTCTGTTCCTTATAGAAGTTTATTAAATAGAATTATTAGATAGTGATTAATAATTATACTTATTTTGAGTTATTAAAAATACTATTATTTATTGTTTTTAATATTCAAAATAGGTAAGTAATTTTTAGTATTAAATTAGCAATATTAAATTAGATTTCTGTAAGGAATGTCGACAATATAACATTAAAATTTTATAAATTTATTTATATAAAGTGCAAATGAAAAAAAAAAATTTGAAAAGAACAAGAAATAATTGATTATAAATTTGATGCGGAGTCGTCCGTATTTGTCTCGATTTTCACAGTGATAAGCGCACTTACCGTAGCTAAAGTAAAATCTGACGTATTTTCCAGATGTCGGACGATGATAGGATGTCCCTCACCACTGCCGTCAGCGATGATGACGACGGCGAGAGTGCTATAAATTCGCCCTATCGGAAGCAGACCGGCACGGCTGCAGCTTCGTTCAATTGCACCGGTGCAGTTCGGAAGGCAGGGTACGTCTCTCATACTTCTTTATTTTTTAAAAATAATGAGCCTTGAGAATCTGTATATAGATATCTCGCATAATGTTGTGACACAGATATACGAAGGCCACAAACGAAGATCAATCAAAGTCCGTTTTTGTTCAGTTTCTAGAATATCGGATCGGACTGAGATTACCGGATTTTTAATCGAATATTATGATAATGACCAATGTTTATGCAAAAATTATCTCCTTTCGTTTATTGTAAATTGATTCAGATTAGCATAAATATGAATATACATACGAATGAATGGTGAAAATTTTTACATAATAAACATTTATCATTATGATATTATTCGATTAAAAATCTGGTAATCTCAAAATAAATTTAATTTGACGGGACAAGCGGGACAAATAATAGAAACAACAATAAATATATATAATATATAAAATTGTTTTTTAATATAATATAATTTTAATAAATTTAAATATAAGAAAAATAAAAAAGATGACAATGCAATCGGAATTTCTAGATTTCTCAGCGTGAAGAAATGGTTGTTGCGCAAGAAGCATCAAATCGAGCTAGCTAAAAAGAGAGGCTGGAGGGGTTATTGGGTCTGTTTGAAGGGCACCACTCTCCTTTTCTATCCCTGCGATTCACAGGAGAGTAGGGCCATGGAGGCAGCACCTAAACACCTGATCATCGTCGACGGTGCGATCATGCAGCCGATTCCCGAACATCCAAAGAAAGATTATATATTTTGCCTGAGCACCGCATTTGGGGACGCCTATCTGTTTCAGGTAACAAAATTTTAACGCGACTTTGCCCTAATCTGTAAAAAGAAATATATAAATAGTAAAGGAAATGTTATAGCTCGCAGATGTTTATTAAAAAGATTTTTCCGTAATGAAATATTCTTTACTTTTTAAACTTTTAATAGTAGAGAATTAATTAAATCAAAATGTGAAAGATGAAAACTAGACTTATACATAATTCAACCTAATTCGCTCAATTTGTACATAGTTTTGCTATTTTTATGTACAAACTTCTTAATTATCCCCCATCGAATATTATCGCAAATAGTATGCCAATTAAACTTGGAGAGTAAGACTGTAGGAAGTACTATACATGGCAAATTATTGGAAAGTCAAAGGGAACAATTATGCCAGCTCAGTTTGATCTCCGCACTTTAGTAGCCCTCGGGAGTGCATTAACCGCGCGAATTGTTAACTAGGTGTATTTAATTAACTCCGTCTCACGAACTCGTTCCCGGGTCACGCAACACGAACTTTTAATAGTCCACTGCCACTGCAAGCTACTTTAAAGCTTGCCACTTTAAATCACTTGGAAGCGTGAGCGACATCGCGAGCGACGATCGATCAGCTGGGCGAAATTTGCCGAGGCCGATGGAGAAGAATCGAAGATCCGAATTCTGGTTCAGCGAAAAAACATGGTGTGTTCGTTTTGTGTTTAGGCGCCGTGTCAAGTGGAACTGGAGAACTGGGTGAACAGTATTCACTCGGCGTGCGCCGCCGCGTTCGCGCGTCATCGCGGCAAAACCGGCACGCTGCACTTGCTGCAGGAGGAGATTTTCCGTCTGGAAAAAGCGATCGAATCGGTACGTAGAAAAAGTTGACTGATGTAATTTTGTTAGGCTCAGCTTGTTCTATAGAAGCATCAAAAGTTTAGAGGAAAGTGATAAAAAAGAAGCTTATGCATGAAAGAAAAGAACTATTTATTGAATGTGGGAGAAAATCTTGCAATTTTTTATATTATCAACTTATTATTAATTTATTAAGGAACATTTTATACAAGAATTATAAATATAAAGTTTATAAAACAGATTAAATATTTTTAATTAGAATCATTTATGAAATATTTTTAATTATGTTGCTTTTATTTTGAAACTATAATTTTTAATAAAAGGAAAGGAGAGAGAGAGAGAGAGAAAAGTAGGTCAATAATTGTATTGATTGTTTGTAGGACCACAAGATGAAGCATATGGCGGATCTTCAGCAATCAGTGGTTTCCGATGTCGACACCAAACAGCAGATCAACAATCAAATAGTACAGTGGGAGGAGAATCTGGAGCGGCTCCACTGCGAGCAATTCCGCCTGCGGTGCTACATGGCCAGTTTGCAAAGTGGCGAACTGCCCAATCCAAAGGTAAGCACGAACTTCATTGAAACGTCAGCTCCGAATGCAATATAGAATATTAACGCTTTTGTAGACCGGTATCAAAGGTACTGCATTATACCGTAACTCGCACTAGATACTCAAATAACATTTATATTGCATAAGATACCTAAAAGACGTCTTTTAGATGTCTTATGTCTAAAAGATGTCTTTTAGATATCTTATGCAATATGCATACCTGGGTACGATTACTTTGACAGAGAAAAGTCTCACATTTTATATCTCTTATATTTACAAATCTCGTATTTTACATCTTTTATATTTTTAGAATATACACATACATGCTATGATTATTCAGTAATTTTTGTTGTTGTAATACAATAATATTTTCTTGCATATAATTGTATATGAAAATGTTGCACTCATCAATATTCATAATAATAGAAAATACTTTGAATATTTATATTTCGTAAGAATATATATATATGCCTCGTTATATTTTTCTCGCAATTTTGTGAATAAATTAATGAATTTATATGAAAATCAATATTTCATAAATATTCTTCATTCGTGATATATTTTTTATTTTTCCGATTTAAACATATTAGCTTGCACAGTCGCTTTCATGCAAGTGTTCCTCTATATCGCGAAAAATTCAGAGAATTGTCGAATTAATTCTTACCCATATATACGGAAAGAACAAATTTATTGAAATATTTAAAAATTCAGTTAAATACAGATCTGAAAATAATTTCATTGGACCACAAAATATAAAATTATATAGAAAAATCACAAACTTGAAAAGCAATGCGTTGTAAACAACTTTGACATTTTGGCAATTAGCTTAAGATTTTTATTATGCTTTGAACGTCATACTTTGTAATTATTTTGATAACAAACAAGATTATTTTCAGATCTGTATTTAGTTCCCAGCAAGGAATAATTGGTCGATTAACTTCGAATTGATGCGATTTAATATCAAATCAATGTCATTCAATCAATCATTTCTGGCTGGATTAAATTTTTTAATACTTCAACAAACCGTTCTTTCCGCATACACACAACATATACGCGAGTTCTCGTCATTCGTTATCCAATGCTACGATGCGGAACGGACATATTACGCTCAATTCCAATCGCAATCGAACGGAACGCTGTGATCTGGTTGTAAACTTTTGCCGCTTTTGCGCAAAAGCTGGTTCTCTCTCGACTTCTCACTGGAAAACAATATTACGCGCTGCAATCTCTCTGCGCGGGTTGCTGCAATTGCTTGAAAAAAAAAAAATCATCTCTTTCGTTTCCCACAGCGTATACGCAATCAGGATTCGTTAGAGGTCCATCTGCGTCTCACTCATCTAATTTGCACCATTCGTTATGAGTGATATCGATCGTCGAGAGGGAAAACTAGGTGACCAGGCAATATCCGATAAATTAACGTTTTCACGATCGTAACAGTCAAGCGATTTTATTGACAGTGATAATTCATAATCAGCAACTGAAAATTGTATTGGAATAGACAATATTTTACGGAAGGGCAGTTCATTCTTTTTATGGCTTTTTTTTAAAGAGGGATATATTTCCGACAACCAGCGTTTCTGGATCTCTCTACATTATCTCTGAGAAGTCTCTTAAACCTATAATGTCATTTTTTTATGATTCTTCTTGCGAGAAAGCACATTTCTCTGAATCTGCTTTGAAATTCTGTGTTATCTGTGAGAAGTTTCTTAACACGTTCCGTGCCGGGCCAATTAAGTGACTTGATCACAACGCTGCGTTGGTTACTCACAATATCTTTGTTTGCATTTGTTAAATAACATTTATTTCATAATGATTATAAAAATTTCAAAAATTATTATAAAGAAGAAGGCCTAATGTATCATTATTGTATTATTATATATCATAACTATGTATTCACGTATAATATAAAAAATAATTTATAATTACATTTCTTTTTATAATCAAATGGCCTGAATGGAAAGTTTATCTCGAGTTATCGGAGTTATGATTCACGCGGAATGGAATGTATTAAACCTACAAAAATCCCAAAATTCTTTTTCTTTTCGAAGGCGATAACTTATTATGATAAGTGAGCAGCTTGATCCAAGATTAAATGAGCAATGTTCACGTCTTTCCCTCAGAGTCTACTGACGCATGTGTCTCGCGCCACAAAGCAAACGCTAAACAAACTGGGCGTGTTCACGGTGTCGTCCTTCCACGCGTTTATCTGCGCGCGTAGCCCGTCTCTACTGAATAATTTATTGGCGGGTCGCGGAGCGACGAAGAGACGACCGCCCCTGCTGTCGAGATCGAATAGCGGCTCCAGCAGGCGCTCGCTGCAGATCTCGTCCAGGGACGAGGAGAAGAGCGTGAAGGTGTCCGTGCCGGAAAATCAGGTACGATCGTCAGGACACCGGGTGAGTTGATCGACATTCTATGCTTCCGTTTACACTTAGAGTATAATAAGGATAAGACGAGCGCGACCCGGTGTTTCCTGTTTGTTGTTTCAGCTGGTCTCGGTGTTCCTGCGTGACGCTATGACCGTGGAAGAGTTCCTAGCTAGCGCGTGCACCAGAAAGAATCTCAATCCGATGGAGCACTTTGTGCGCGTCAAAAAGCGCCGGGATATGGAGGACCATAATTACTTTGTGCCACATAGGACTGATTTGATAGAAACCTATGTAAGTTCGACGGATCGAAATTGGCGAGTTTAAACTGAGTTTGAGGAAATGATTATGGAAGGTTTAAAGTAAAGTGTGCATTACGAATAAAAATGTCACCAATTACCTTGGATATAAATGAACAAAAGTTCTAAAAGTTCTTAAGAACGCATTTTAATAGAATTTAATATACAAATAAAAAAGTTAGAAACTTCTTTGGAATATATGAAAACATTATTTCTTAAATAATCGTATAATTAGATTAATCAAATAGAAAATGGAAATATTTGCGTTAAAAAAAATTGTTTTCCATTTTTTAAATAATCAAGCACTTTATAAAATGAATAAAGTTGTTGCGACTTCTAGTGATTTCTTATAATGAAAATTTGATGTAACTTTTTTGCTGCACGCAGTTGCATACGCACGAAATCGTGGAAGTCTGTGCCAAGATTTTATATCAAGTGGAATTGCAAAGAAACACTTTAGAACAAATGTGGGGCTTCTCCGTCGAGGCGGAGCTCATAGAAAACTCCGATAGGCAGGATGAGCTGTGCTGTTACGTTAGTAGAGTGGAAGACAAGAGTGTCGCCATGCAAAACGGTAAGCACCCCTTATCTAGGACAACGTCTAACTAAAATAAACGTCCCTCGAGTGCAACGATTAGAAGTTTCGATCGTTACAAGGTCTTTTTATTTCTCCTCATTTATTAGCGATCATTTTTTCTTATTGTCAGCCTCTATTATATCTAAGCACTGTTGATCTTTTATTAATTGATTAACTTTACGTTATAAAATTTTGAAATAATAAAATAATAATAATAAAAAAATTAAATTAAATTAATTACAAAGTTTATATAGCTTTTACTAGAATTAGTATTGATTTTTTTTACTAGAAGAATTGAAAGAGTAAAGAGAAATTAACAAATTGTGAAATTAATATGGATAGGTTTGCGTTACATTAATGTATCAAATTCCAAAGGAATGAAAATGATGTCGTGTTGTAGAAGATTACCTCGCTTATTCACTCTCGATTTAACTTCTTGCGGATCTTAAAAGATGACTTATGTCAAGGTCCGATTTATTAATTTTCTTAGACCGCATCGGCGCCAGGATGTGCAAGGACGCCATTGAAAAATCATCGATTTTCCGCGCATCGTCGCTTGCTCGTTGAACAGAGTCTCGTGCTTACGGTTAAATGAAGCGCGTATAACGCGTATAAAAAAAGAAATATGTATAGAATAAAAATATATGTATATATTGCATATATGTGCACACGCCGGGGGTGGGACGATCTTAGGGCCGCAGGCGCGAACAAATCAGAATGACATTTAGCGCCGCCTTTCCGTAAATCCTGTCTAAATTTATCGGGCAGCTTGCTCGTTAAACACGATCGAAGGGAGCGACTTATTATAGTTGCGAAAGATACCGAGCTGAGCGGTTGGATCATCTTCGCAGGCACATCGTGAGGCAGCCGCGAAAAATGTCAGTCGGAATTAAAAGATACTTACACTACTTAAAAGATACAGTAGTCGCTATAATTAACGTTTTTATTGCATTGCAAATCCTAAGTTTATGAGTGTTGGTGATAAAAATACTTGGACGATTGTTTATAAAGTAAAAATTGTTCATGTCAACGATGAAGACTGATTATACAATTCCGCTAATCTTCGAACGTTGTCAGCCAACGATAAATATTTGATTATCAATGAAAATTTTAAGCTGCAAATATTCTTCTCCGACACAAATCCTCTTTAGAGAGGATAAATTTTCACATGGCGACTCTGGTTTCAGGAATCATTAAGGGCGACGAGATTATGGTAATCAACGGCGCCATCGTGAGTGACCTGGATATGATGTACTTGGAGAGTGTTCTACAGGAGGAGGTGGGTCTCTGTATGATGATGCGATCCTCCAGAACGGAGCCACCGGATCTCACAGGCATTATGCGAGTTACCGATGACATAATTGAGAGCCTGGTCTGTCCGCCGCCGCCTACTGACCCACCAGTAATCAGCGAAGAAATGATTTCCGGTCTGATTGTGCCGGCACCTGGATGGAGTGAGTCCTTTCGTCCTATTCTTCAAGAAATTGTTGCATTAAGGGCTATTTTTATTACTGCTATTACTGAAGATTATATTACTTCTAAAGTAAACCCATTAAATTAATGGGACATGTAAATCACAAAAGTAAATTACGCTGAAGAAAACACGTTGCTCTTGAAACAGAATACATCAAGGCACGCGATTAATTCTTTTATTGCTGAGTGCGACGCAATTTATATTTTACTAAAATATAGCGACAGCGAAGTAATGAAAATTATTTTAGATATTGGAAAGTTGATTTTCTGACACAGTAAAAATTAAATTCGTGTAACGTAATAATTAATTAAAAAATGTTTTCGCCTGTTTATTATTTTTATAAGAAGTTTTATCTCAAATTATATATTGTTTCTTCCAATAATAAATTATCATAAATAATAATTATGCGTTACTTTTAATACAATGAAAATTACTATCAATAAATTATATAGAAAAAATTATATTATTAATTAATATAATTACGAACTTTTGTACGTTATAGCACATCTTAATATAAATTTCATTTTATGATGCAGGCAAGGAGAACATTATGCAAGAATGCTCGTCAGCCAGCCACGCGGATAATAAACAAAGCTCGCGCACAAATTCCTTTGAGATTGAGAATCTTTTGAAAACTGCCGAGCAAGTGACAGTAATCTGTCGTTCTCCAGGTGAGACCAGAAAGTCAAGTCCCACCGGAAGTGTAGTCAGTTCCCACTCACAGGCTCTCACACCAAGCCGGCAGCTAAGCGACGCTGAGAAGCTAAAGAAAGTGATTTTAGAACTGATTGAGACTGAACGGACTTACGTAAAGGTAATAAAAATTGAATATTATAATTTTTATAGATTGATGATTTGTATATATTTCGATATTAACAGATTAATGGGGCTGACTAATGAATTTCTTCCCGTTTGTGTTTCATAGAATTTAAATAATTTGCTGGAGAACTATTTGGAACCCCTTAAACGCGAGACCTTCTTGTCGAACGCGGAGATCAACGCGCTGTTTGGTAATATTCAGGAAATTGTCACGTTTCAACGACAGTTCCTGCAAAATCTCGATCACGCCATCGAGATGGAGGCCGATTTCAACAGTTTTGACCATCCGAGTCAATTTAAGGTGCGCACTTTCGATTCAAATCTAATTACATAATTTATAATTCATTTATTTGCTCAATAGTTGACTGATAAAAGCAAAATTATGTTTTATAAATCAAGAAAATTAAGATTGATACATTTGAGACTTTTTATTATTTTTAAAGCAATTTAAAATTTAAATATTTAATTATATAAAATAATATATAATTATTAATAAATATTATAATTATTAGACATTTTTAGAAGTTTTTCTCATATTTCTTAAAATATGAAAAATGATATACATTGTTTTAATAGCATAAATATATTAGTATCAAAATATAATATTGCACTAAATTATTTTGATTAATGAGTTTCGAGGCTGAAATGAACTCTCATATCACTTTTCATGGCTGTTACAGGGAGTCCTGTTTTCCATTGGAAGTGCCTTCTTATATTACGTAAATCACTTCAAGCTATACAGCTCGTTTTGCGCCAGTCATTCGAAGGCTCAGAAAGTTTTACATCCAAGTAAGTTTCTTCTTGAAATACCTTGATCTCTTTTTCGCGAGTACCGACCTTCACTTCCTCGTCCATATTAACGTCTGATCCTTCGTAATCGATAATTCATTTGCCGGGAATAACTTCAACCTCAATCGCTACTCTCTATAAAAGTTACTCTCTATAAAAGTATTGTATCCGGAAAGTTATCCGATTTATTATTCGTGTCAACCTTCCGCAAGTGGATGACATTTTTGTGTCGCTGGAGGCTGCGCCATTAACCATTCAAAAAGAACGCTCGGTCATTTTCTACGTCACGCATTTATTATTCTGTAAAATTTTATCTTATATTTTCTAAAATTTTAATACTAATTAAAGCGTTGCATTTGCCTATTCAATTTTTAATGTAACAATTTTATGCAGAAATGCAGAAATGTCCTAGAATCTGAATTTTAATGACAATCTGAAAATATTAATGACAGACCGGATGAATGCTTTTTTTTTTCATGCAAATCGCATTTCTTATCATTACGACGGAACGAAGCAATCTCTCGATAATTATCTAAGATAATTGACAATTTCAGACGAGGGAAATCAAGCTTTACAAGAGTTCCTGCAAGCAAGAAATCCCCGGCAGCAACACTCATCGACCTTAGAATCGTACTTGATAAAACCTATACAAAGAATACTTAAGTATCCGCTGCTATTACAGCAGCTTAGGAATCTCACCGATGAACGAAGCGAAGAACACCAACACTTAATCGGTAATTATCACGAACAATTTAAGACTATCAGGGATTTAATCACAATATGTAAATTGCAGAGGCGCTCAAAGGCATGGAAAAGGTGGCGGAACACATAAACGAAATGCAGAGAATTCACGAAGAGTACGGCGCTATTTTCGATCACCTGTTCAGGCAACACCAAAAGTCCTGCAAACAGGTGAGTCCCTAGAGAAGAAAAATATAACAAACACTACATAATAATTTATTCGAAAATTAGTTAGGTAGATGTAATTTTCAGTTATTTTTTGTGTTTTAACAAGTGATAACGTTGTATACCTGAAAGTTCGAAAATATTATTTTATAATTTAAAAAAAAAATAGAAATCTCTTTTAACTCTTCTTAATTATTATTGTTAGATTTTACGTTGAACTTAGAATTTTCTTGTTCTGATTACATAATTTGAATATAATTTTATATAATTTTTTAATTACATTATACAGAAAATAGCTTAGAATATCGTCGATTAACGCATTCATTTCTTGACAGCCGATCGACTTAAGTCCAGGCGATCTTTTGTACTATGGCGGTGTCGAATGGCTCAACATTTCCGACTTTCTCGGCAAGATAAAGAAAGGTCTCGAGTTGCATGCGATGTGCTTCGTATTTAAATCGGCCGTCGTGTTCTTATGCAAAGAGAGGTTGCGACAGAAAAAGAAGCTCATGGTCAGTATCCATATGACCCATTTTTCTATATCGATGAATAGATTCTCGTAATGCTTTTAATACTCAAGAAGTCATTGTGTCTATTTTTATAGGGAGTTTCAACGAAGGCTAACTCAAGTGAAGTAGAGATCATCCGTTATCAGGTGCTAATCCCGGTGACGGAAGTCCAGGTCAGGGCTAGTTCCGCCAAGGATATGGAGTCCCACTTCTTGTGGGAATTGATTCATCTAAGAAGTCAATTACAAAGGAGATCGGAGAAAGTATACGTGCTATCCAACAGGTATTTTCCTAAAATTCTTTTTATATCGATTGATTAATTATTGAATTGACGAATATAAATTGAAACAAATCTAAATAAAAACGAGCGAAAATAAATTCTCTAAAAAACAAACCATCTCGATTTATTAAATTTAATAATAAAATAACGCAGTTTGATCTGTATCCGTGGCAATTGATTTATGGCCATTGATTGCACTTGACTGCAATCAATTACGCAACGCAGCTAATATAATTTTGTCATTATAAATTGAACAAGAAAATTAATAAGATATATTGTCAGATTGGAAATAAATTGCTGCTAAATTAAATAAATATTTTGTTTATCCAATTGCCAGTATTTTAATCAAATTGTTTTCATGTTGCAAACCAATATATTCCGCTACACTTTTTACATTCTTTTTTAAGCAAAATCTATATATACATACAGTGTTTTTTTTTTCTAAAACTATTTGCTGACAACATATATTCATAATAATATGTTTTTGGATCGAGCTATTTCTTAATTGCAACTGCTAATGCAGTTAATGATGCGTGAATTATTGTGTATATTCGCCAGTAATTACATACAAAATATACATACAATATCGCAATACGATTCGATTCTGTATTAGTGTTCTTCAATGCTTATTATAGAATGGGATAGCAATCGAGTTAGACTGAATCTTCTATCCATTACAATCCATATCAATTAAGTGTTTAAAATTATTAGTCATATAAAATAATTGAAGTCCATAATGTTGAAATGATTTGACCAATAGATAGAAGATGAGATCCTAAAAGAAATGATAACCAGCAATACTAACAGAATGTTATTGGATTTTTTATCATTGTACAAATAATTAAACAATCTCCTTATCTAACGTTGCTTCAAATTTTCATTTACAGTACAACAGAATTCCGTAATGCGTTCCTGAAGACGATTCGGCAGATCATCCGTGAGTCGGTGAGAAATATGAGCATACCTTCGACGAAGCAGAACCTGAGTCAGGCGCCAATGTCGATGGCACCGCGAATGTCGACCGGTCACGTAGAAAAATTTAACAAACAACAGATTGGTCAGGGCCAGACGCAGAACGGAAATGGTGTGACGGGTACGCTGTCGAAAAAGGCGATGAAGCAGCAGCTGCTGTCCAGTTCTCAGAAGCGCAAATACAGCCACTCGAAGCAGCCAGTGGAGCACGAAAGTTCAGAGGATAAGGATCAAGAGGACGCGCCGGCTCCCCAGCAGCAAACATTTCGCTCCAGGAGCAAGACCATAAGCGACACTTCCGGTAAGACGAACTTTCGTAAGACTCAAAATAAGTTTTAATTTTAAGCAAAATCTTCCTTTGTACATACATAGATTCTGATATGTAAATTTATAATCCATAATTATTTATATCCATCAATTTTAAAAAAGTTTTTCATTTATATTTTAAATTCATTAAAAAAATTTAAATTTAAGATAATAAAAGCATGAAGCGATATAATGATTCAATTATAATGGATAACATTATTATTGATAAATTATTCAACGCTTTATTATTCTGGGTTTTAGGCGAAGCGAAGGTCGAGATGGATTCGGGTACAAAGTCGGAAGGTGAGGAAGATTCACAGGCTTTTTTAGGCGAGAAGAAGACGACTCTCGGCCGCACACCTAATCATCTGACGCTGAGCACTACGTCGACTATCTCGGCGGGAAGTACTGGCAGCCAGGCTAGATTGATTCAGTCTTCCCATCAGCCTGAGAATTACCAACCTATTACCGTCAAGGAACTTGGTGAGTGTAGCATTCTTTTTCATCTGCCAGAATTTATGTCAAAGCTTATTATTAATTAAAATTTATATATTTCAATTAAATCTTTTTAAATTTGATTAATAATCAATTGAAATCTTTCAATCTCTCATTAATAAATAGCAATTAAATAAATCTACCCCAATTATTAGGTGTTGGAATTAATTCGTAGCGTTTTTTAATGAAAGAATGTTATTTATTTCACATGAGCATTAAAAAATACATTAATGAAAGTACTTCCCATCACTTGTAAAACGCTACGAATTAATTCCAACACCTAATATATTAGTGTATCGATTTTTGTTTTAATCAATGTGAATAAATGGAAATTTTTAATTTAATAATCCAGTAGAATTTTCGATACGTAGTATTATATTTTTACTTGGCAGTTATTTTAATCATTTTTAATATTACACGGAGAGAAAAAGATTTTGCTGAAAATTTAAAATCTTGAAAAAGAAAGGTCTAAAATTTTGCTTGAACGGATCTGAAAATAATTTTGTTGGGGCCATTAAAATAATGTTGTTGGAAATTGGTTGATAGAATATCACATTTTTTCATAGATTGATCATCATTTCTTAGTTTCCAATATAATTATTTTAATGGTCCAACAAAATTATTTTGAGAGATCCGTATCCAACAAAATTTTAGAGCTTTTTTTCCATATAATATTAGGACATTTGTAATAAGTCAAGTACCCAGATAGCACACAATATTTACAAAATGTTTATAAATATTTATAAGATTTATTTTAAATACTTTGTGAATATTTTGTGATCTTAGATTGCACAGATCATAAATATTTATTATAAATCTTATGAAATATTTATTATAAATGTATAGTAAATACTATAAAAATACATAATGAGATATTATAATCCAAGTAAAAAATATTTATTAAAAATATTTATGTATATTTATCATATAAATATTAAATATCTATATTTTAACAATATTTCGAATAAAACTTTATATAAAATATGTATGAAATATTTATATAACATTTCAAAAAATGAATATTAATAAATATTTATCATAAATATTCTGTGCTATTTGGGTACATATTTATATATCAGATATTTTATCAGATATAATAAAATTTATTATTTTGTTCTCTTAAAAAAAAATATATAAAGCATGAATCCTTAATGTATCGCGATAGGCTCGCCGATCTGGAAGCCACGGGAACTACCCTCCCTGGGGGAGGCTACCACGTTGCCGCGCAAGGGTAAGTCGGCTGGCGAGTTTGCGGACATGAGCTCGAGCCATAGCGCCTCCCGAAAGTCTCTGATAGAAATCAACAATTCTGCTCAACAACCTAACTTTAATAATCACGTTTAAGTTGGATAATATCGAGGCTGACTCGCTAACGATAATACCATTAAGTTCCGCCATCGCTATTAAACGCGATCGGCACTACCACCACCACCACCACCACCACCACCACTACCACCATTACTACCATTATCACCACCAACGACATCACCTATCATCACCAAGCGTAATACACAGAGATAATTATTCGATTATTGCGATTACTACGATAACGATACGTGAGGGACACGCATCCGCCGCCCACGTGGAAATTCGCGAAGATTGCGCTTTCTCCCTCCGATCTCTTCCTCATTTCGTCTTCCAGCAGGAAATCCGTGTTCGCGTGTATGTGTGAGACGCAGTCGATTGCACCGTTTCTACGGGAGCAAGCGAGATGCTCGATCGGGCTTCCACCTTGCTCTGAAGAATCTGATAGAATCCGAGTATCTTTTCCTCCTTCGTCTTTTGGCGGTTGACGTATTTAAATAGCTAAACAATAAATAAGAAAAAAAAATAACGACATAATATTAAAGTTAAGATAAAGAATGTGTCATTAAATTAAGATAAGAATGCCCGATTTATGGTAAATAGTTTTGATTTTGACAATCGTAACGCGGATAATCCCAAAGTTGTAGAAGGTCGAAGCGATGCCGAGCAGACCGCTGGCTCTGAAAACGAATAATCCAACGGCGAATAATAAATTATTAACGAATAGCCGCTCTAGTTCTTCGTAATGAAACGTCGATCGTGAAAGACTGGAATAATAGAATGAATAATAAAAAGTCTCCGAGCTCCAAGATGCTTGCTTCATTTAAGTTCATTTTTTTCAATTGTACGTTCTATACACATTGTTTCTTATTAGCTTTGTTTCTCTTTAATACAGCTAACGTTATAATTGCGATTATAACATTCAGCTTTAATCTTAGTAGGAAATCCCTAAAAGCCTGCGTTTGAAGTTAAACAAAAAAATTTTGGTATCCATTTTTATACGTAAAAATTCGTTCATAAACATGAAGAAGACGATTTCTTTCATATTGCTCGAGTATTTACGTATAAAATAAAGTGCTTGCCATTCCATAGCAATCTGTACATATAAGTACACGCAGAAAAGGGAGAAGTTCTTAAATAATCGAGGTTGTAAGCGCAACGTGCCTGAGAGACTTAAGAACGATGGGTCGAACCGTCGCCTCTCGGATGTCTCCATTTTATAGCATCCATCGGCATAATTTTAACATCGCCGGTTTTACGAGACGTAATTCGGTCGCCTCTTCAAGAGTCGCCAGCGATCGAGGCTACATCCTTCGATCCTGTCGCTCCTATTTCCGCGTGGACGGCGGCGCAGACGATCCGGAAAGATAATCGACTCTGTATATAATGTAATGATATTTATCGTCATACCGCGTCACTATAATTACACGTAACCATGTTTGCGATCGAACGCTCGCGCGTAGGCGCGCTCGTTACGTTGTTTCCCATCGTTCCACCACCGTTCTCCCACATCCTCCCATTTTTTTATTATTATACAAAACCGTCGTGATGCGCGTCACACCATTGACGATCGCCGGATGACGCGAGGACTGCGAGAGCAGTGCGAGAGAGAGAGAGACTTATAAGACCCGCATTTGAAAAAAAAAAAAGAAGAAAAGAGGAAGAAGAAATGAAGAGATGCTCGAAAAAGCGATTCGCGCGCGTAGCGAGTAAGTCTTAGCAGCTAAAGAGAAATCAATTAAAATATGTCGTGTGTATATATATGTATATATACATTATATATATATACATATATACATACATACACAAAAAATATATGTATACATATTATACATACGGAGTATTATGTGAGAGAGAAAGAGAGAAAGGATGGATTTATGAATTGCATTGTAACGTCGTCCACGGTTCCCTTCCCCCCAAAAAGGAAATAAAAAAAAAATCATTCCGCCGCGTGTTAACCTGTTTTCAGGGTCAAGCATCCTCGCCAATATAGCAGACTTTATTTTTAACGTTACTTAAGATACAAAAGAGAGCGACTGAGCGAGCGAGAGAGAGTCTATATGTGTGTATGAGGAGAGAGAGAGAGAGAGAGAGAGAGAGAGAGAGAAAGAGTGACAGGGAGAAAGAGAATGAGTGAGTACGATGGTCAGAGTGCTCGAGACCGAAGCTGCGAGGTGAGAATGCGCTGGCATAACGAGATGCACTAAAGGCCCGTGATTAGCGTGCAGGGAGAATGAACGAGAGAGAAAGAAAGGAAGAGAAAAAGAGAGAGAGAGAGAGAAAGAGAGAAAAAAAGAGGCGCACACTCGTACTTTAAAACGTACATATTGAATTTTAGGGACGGCGAACAGTATCGGCACCGAAACCCTTCACGATAATCCGACACATATACCGCGTTGTTGATGGGTATTACGATAAATTAAGAATGGTATCGAGGGATTAATACGTGTAAATTAGACGACAGAAAGTATCCACATAGACGTATACTTACAACCAAAAAAATATGTATAAATAAAAAATATATATACACACACACACACACACACACACACGCACACGCACATATTCACACATCATACATGTACGTTTTCATACGTGACATGCAAGTACTTACATGCACGATTGGCGGTGGGAGTTGAAGGTGTTCCCTCAGAAAGAGAGAAGAATATTTTCTCATGATTCTCTTTACGAAGATTATTCCAAAAATGGTTTTTTTTTTTTGCGGACATCTCAAGATATTCCGGGAATATCCTCAAGAATTTCTTGAGACTCCTAAGAGCATTCAGAGAATATTCGAATAATATTCGAAGAATATCCGGAGAATGAAAGCGTTCGAAGGATATTCGCCAAGAAGAGAAAGACATTCTGGATACCCTGTCACCTCGCATCGCCATGTGCAAAACCCTTATGCATACTCGAAGTACGCGGATGTCGCGCGCAACGTAATCGATCAGTCTTATCGAACACGAAAGGAAGACGTTCGCGAATTTGCGGCGACCGCGTTTCCTGAATAGGACAATAAAGGAACGGATCTGATGACGTTTGAGACAGCGTCACGTCGACGCGCCGGTTCTCGCTCGAGGAAGTCTCCGACTTTGGTATTGTTCTTTTATCTATTGATTCGGTTCCAGCTATGGAGTTAGCGTTGATCACTGAAACCGATTAGCGGATCCGGAATCGTACATTGCGAGCTTAGATCCTCCTCGACGGCAGCTCGACGTTGGCACGACGATGCCTCAGGTCGCCTGGATCTTGCTGAAATTGGGTATTGACGCCTCTATGCCAGTATCGATTGCGCCTTTATAATATCGCTTGCGATAATCTTCTTCAAGACTTTCTGCAGCGATATCATTAGCGGGGATCAATCGGGATACCGTAGGGGAGTATGGAATTATCATTTAGAGATCGTTAACGTCTTCCTTCAGCGTTCCGAATCAATGATCGTGGACAAATAAAAAATTTAATTGCCGATTAACGAAATTTGATATAGTCATAGTACTGATATACGCACATATTCAGCACGTTGTTATCCGTGACGATTTACAATTTCGAATGAGCGCGCGCCTCGTCATGATTTTCGTGCTTGAAGCGAAGCATATAACATTTTGATATTATAATATTGTAATATTACGATATTGTAATAATATAATATTATACAATGTTATATTATATATATATATTATAAGTTTATACAGATATACGAGAGAGATCGTACCGCCGACGCTGCGCGCAACATCTAGAAAGAGAGCAGAAAGAGACTTCGTTCAAGAAATTTGAAAATCGACGAAGAATCAATAAGAATTGAATAACGTGACGAATTTTCCGCATTAATGCTTTTCGGAAAAGGCGATTGCGTCAATACGAAAGAAAAAAAAAAAGTCGTGTTAATACGTATTCGCGAAATCGCGTCAATTATTAGTATATTTCCGAGGAGTATAATTATACGAGTATCTACTAATTATACCGGATGGAATACTATTGTACAGTGTGCATAGAAAGGCGAAGACGAGGGACGGGTGACGCGTTTGATCCTTTCCTTTTCCTTCGTGGCGAACCGCGCGAGCCGCGGGAATTTTATCCGTGACATTTAATGAATGTTTTATCGAACGCTGTAATATTGCTTCCATCTCGAGCGCGTTACCACGCATCTGGTGTGCGTGCTTTAACACAGATTTCTTACGATTTTACGAATCCACCGCGAATACCTGAGACACGTTGCTTTTGCGAAATCGCATTAAGTGGTAAAATTCGTCAACTTGACTGCCAGTCGATCGTCAATATCGCGATTTTCATAAATTTTCTTGCTTTTGTTCGTATCCGTTTTGTTTTGTTGTGTAAATTCGAGCAATGTTAATTTTTTTATAGGAATTATTAAATTTATATTTTCAAGGATTGCAATATTTTGTACTTTGCTTATATCTCGCAAATTATTTATTAAGTTGTCAGTAACCCGGGAAAAAATGTTTTATAATTATGTATAAAATTATATGTAACTATATAAAAATTGAGATACTTTATATACAATTATATATAAAATAATTATATATAAAATATGTTCATATATAAATAACATTTTTTTTCTAGGAAATAACAAAAGATCGAAGCTATTATTTTCAGGAAAAAAGGCGGGCAGTCAAGAATGTGTAATAGGGATCGATTTTGTCTTGTAAATTCTTTTATTCTGAAAAATCGATCGTGCGTTCGCCAGATTTATCTTGAAACATGACAAGATGACCAAGGACGACAAAAGCTCTTTCTTTTTTCTTCCGCTTAAAATCGAGTATGTCATTACGTACGTATGTCATCCTGCTATCCTATGCAAGAAGAATCTCTAGAAAGGTAAAAATGTCAGAGAGAATCGAATTGTAAAATCATGACATTTAAGAAATTTTTTCAGGGAGACACGTTCTTCGAAAAAAGTGTCAGAATCTTCTTTTCTTTGTTTATCGAAGAACGTGTCAGAAAAGTGTGACGAACGTGGTGCCAAAATTGCCATATAGCAATAATTAGTAGGATTAATATCAGACTGACTCATAATAGTGTTCAAGCACGGGAGTTCGTCGGAAGGTGAAGTCTTAATGAATTATCGCCGGACTAATAATCGCGACTAATAATCGCGTGATAAAACTTGGGCGATTAATAACTGCTGATATTAGTAATCACTGACTAATTATGTCCAACGGCGCATACAGGAAATTTCGAGTTACTACTGGAAGAATCAAGATCAAATCTCTTAACACATCAATGTGAATGAACGGGAATTTATATAGAAACTTGATAAAAAGCAAAGATAAAATTATTATATATCTCGAATGACTTGAACAATTTAATGCTGCAATTCTACACTTTCATTTTCCTGAACAATCATTTATGATAAGCAACGAATTCGTTAATCATATCGTAACTTTTATGAAATATCAAGTTATTGTTAATTTTCGTTCAAGCGAACGAGACAGCAGAAACTATCATCTGAAATAATGACGTGTATTAAAATTATTTTATTGCTTCGTATAATTTAAGTAATTTTTTCTAAGAAAAATTGAGGCCGACATTTCTAATGGCTTCGGTTTTGTTCTATTTACTTGATTAATTCACACCGAAATATTTAAGCATTAAAATCTGTTTGATGGAAAGTAGGATTTCTCTTAATTAGATTTATTCTGATTGGTCCAATTCCGAATTGTAACTAATTACTTGAAACTCGTTGCTGATTAACGTTAACAAAGAGGATGGCAGGAACGGATGTCCGTCACGTAGACACGTACACGGACACAAATTACGTGCGATCGCGTGGGACACATACACGAAACAGTTCACACGAAATATATCTAATAAGGCATCGGTTAAGATCTGACAGCGAAAAAAAAAATAATAAGATACCTACTTACTAATTACTATAGGCGAGAACACACGTGCAGATTTAAGGAAAAAAAATTTACGGAAGACCTTCTGTTGCTCGAATTATTGCATTGTCTACTATATATAAATTTTATTGTATAAATTCTGTCAAGAGAGAGGCGCGTCTCCGAGCGAGAGTCGATGTTTCTTTTTCTCCTCGACCTCCGTGTCCTTCCTTTCGTCTTTCCTTTCCGTGTCGAAGGATCTACGAGGACATTCGAGAAAGAGATGCTGAGGAAAGTGCGTAACGCGTCCGAGGAGTCGCTCCTGCGCGGATAATAGCGATTATAATTAAGTTACTATCGCGATATCGAATGGTACTGCTTTTAGACGACATACAAAATTCACGATCGTACGAAGTCTAATCGTTTTCTGTCTAAAGTCTCGCGGAGGACAATCTTGGATGTCCATCTTAGATGGTCTGCGATAAACGCAAAGTCGATTTATCTTTTTTTCCACGACATAAACGTTATATCTCTGATAAATATAAGTCCACTCCACAGCTGTGTAAACAATGTAGTAAGCACGATTGTCTCTTGTGCATTTGGAGTGCGGATGCTTTTCTTCGTGTCTATGATATACGTATAAATGACAAAAAGCCTCTCGTCGCCACCTTATCGCAGCCAGGTGTCTTCTATCCAGAGTTTAATCGAGCTTAAGATAGTGCGCCTTATATCTAGCTTTATCTTTTCATTTAAGAAATCTCGTAAAGTATTTAAAAACATGATATCAAGGGTTAAGGTTCATTCAACTATAGGCATTT